TTTTGCAGGACAACCCGATCGTTCCTTCACCATCTCACCAATATCGACTATTGTGGGAACCGAAGATGAGGGTGAACTTCTATGCCAGGTGAAGGCACTGCGAATTTTCTTCAGCCGTTCCAAGACTAGGCTTGGTTCAAGGAAGTTGTTATTTATACCCGTTTCTCCTACGCCCATGACCAAAGTTAGTCGCAACACCATATCTCTATGGTTACACACAGTTATCCTTCAGGTTTATTTGATCGCCAATCTGGATCCTCACAAGATCTGGGCGTTAGCCTCTACCATGGCTTTAACAGCAATTGTTCAATTAAAACAATCATGGAAGGATGTTTTTGGTGGTCCGACAGTTTTTGCCAGTTATTATCTTCACTATGTGCCTCAAGGACGTGAAAGGTGGCGTGGCTTTGGGCCGTTTGTTGCAGCCCAACAGGTTTCCAACCCCCAACGCAAATAATGAACTCGCCCTATACAGAGCCATTCTATTTTCCTGTGCATTTGCTCAGATTTTACCAGTGGAAGAATATTAGACAATTGGTTGTCTACAAGGGCTCAATGAGAAAGAATTTACTGGTGAGCTAGTTTTGTCTTTATTACTAAGGTGTATAGGGAGCTACTCTTTCCTATGTTCAATTGTTTTCACATTGAAACAACCTGACCGTAATGGTGTATTTCTGAACTTTTCCACTTCACGGTTTATTTACCAACTGGTGTCGTATCTTCAGAGTGTGAATTATTGAGGTTTCTGTATTCTGAGGGTTTCCCTATCCAAACTGTCCAATACAGATGCATTAAGGAGTAATGCAGGATAAGTTAAAAATTTAGTAAAATATTTTTTACATTTGTATACTTATCCTGCATTACTACGTTTAAGGCCCACCCATCGCAAACTTGCCTCCCCACTTTGGCTTCAGAAACCTCAAAAGTATGTTATTGTAAGAGCTCGGGCGACAGGCAGTGATGTGAAGGTGACCTCAGGTCATCAAGGTCACAGGACAGCAGCAGTGGTTGGCAAAAGTGGGACTACAAACAACAGTTTGTAATTTCTTCACCCAGGACCATCACCGTTATACTGTCCCTCCTATCATCGTAAGGTAAGCAGTGAATGCATTAAGGAGTAATGCAGGATAAGTATTCAAATATTTAGATATTACTAAATTTTATCAAAATGTCATTCAATATTGTTCACATTGATATTGGCAAAATCATGTGTGAAGTGATTGGTAGATGCACCAACGTTATTTAGAGCAACCATCATAACCATGGTCAGATAGTCTATACATGTATCATAAATCCCATACTTTGTCTCGTTAAAAGACATATTTGTTGTATTTTGATATGTCAACATAATGTTTACATGGTCATAATTGCGGAAGCCTTGACAGTGACTGGTCAAATTGTTCCATATGTTCCTTGCTAATGATCTGAACAGAGATGTGTGGGCAATAATGACAAAAGCTGAAGTACCAGTCATGATGTATTTATACACAGATAACTTTCTTCAGTACAAGAAATGTTACTCCACACATCTGCAGGGTTTAATGAAAATACTACAAATGTTACTCCAGGCATCTGCAGGGTTAAATGAAAATACTACAAATGTTACTTCAGACATCTGCAGGGTTAAATGAAAATACTACAAATGTTACTCCAGACATCTGCAGGGTTAAATGAAAATACTGCAAATAATACTCCAGACATCTGCAGGGTTAAATGAAAATACTACAAATGTTACTTCAGACATCTGCAGGGTTAAATGAAAATACTGCAAATAATACTCAAGACATCTGCAGGGTTAAATGAAAATACTGCAAATGTTACTCCAGACATCTACAGGGTTAAATGAAAATACTGCAAATGTTAGTACAGACATCTGCAGGGTTAAATAAAAATACTACAAATGTTACTCCAGACATCTGCAGGGTTAAATGAAAATACTACAAATGTTACTCCAGACATCTGCAGGGTTAAATGAAAATACTGCAAATAATACTCCAGACATCTGCAGGGTTAAATGAAAATACTACAAATGTTACTTCAGACATCTGCAGGGTTAAATGAAAATACTGCAAATAATACTCAAGACATCTGCAGGGTTAAATGAAAATACTGCAAATGTTACTCCAGACATCTACAGGGTTAAATGAAAATACTGCAAATAATACTCCAGACATCTGCAGGGTTAAATAAAAATACTACAAATGTTACTCCAGACATCTGCAGGGTTAAATGAAAATACTACAAATGTTACTCCAGACATCTGCAGGGTTAAATGAAAATACTACAAATGTTACTCCAGACATCTGCAGGGTTAAATGAAAATACTACAAATGTTACTCCAGGCACCTGCAGGGTTAAATGAAAATACTGCAAATGTTACTTCAGACATCTGCAGGGTTAAATGAAAATACTGCAAATAATACTCAAGACATCTGCAGGGTTAAATGAAAATACTGCAAATAATACTCCAGACATCTGCAGGGTTAAATAAAAATACTACAAATGTTACTCCAGACATCTGCAGGGTTAAATGAAAATACTGCAAATGTTAGTACAGACATCTGCAGGGTTAAATGAAAATACTACAAATGTTACTCCAGACATCTGCAGGGTTAAATGAAAATACTACAAATGTTACTCCAGACATCTGCAGGGTTAAATGAAAATACTGCAAATGTTAGTACAGACATCTGCAGGGTTAAATGAAAATACTACAAATGTTACTCCAGACATCTGCAGGGTTAAATGAAAATACTACAAATGTTACTCCAGACATCTGCAGGGTTAAATGAAAATACTACAAATGGTTTACATCACTGACCATGTGTTTCACATTGCCTGATACTGCATGATGTCTTGTTTGACATCCAAAGAATGGCCAACACTAAGACTGATGTGATCATAAACCTTTCACTTTACTTATATGTAATAAGACATCAAGAGGTTAAATATCATACAGTTAAAATATTCTCTTTTTCGTTGATACATGAGATTTCCTGTAGTGATCATTAAAGCATATTCTGTAATGAAAATTTGAGAGTCTTGTGCCAAATGAATGAAAGTAATGTTTTGGGATGATTTTCTTTTTTGGGAACATCTACGAGGGGTGTTCATTAAAGATTTCCCCTGACCTACTTCCGATGGACCTAGTGGAATGAAACTTGGCATAGGTATTAGTCTTTCTCCACATAGGAACCACCAAGAGTAACACACTTCTCCCATCGTTTTATGCAACTATGGAGACCTCTCTTGTAAAAGCCCTCATTTTACGTCTCAAACCAGGACTTGACTTCAGATATCAGTGTTTCATCATCTGTGAAACGTTTTCCCTTCAAAAATGACTTCATGGTTGGAAAGAGGTGGAAGTCAGATGGTTGCAAGGTCAGGAGAGTACGGAGGATGTGGAAGGATTTCATAGCCACAGGACCGTGCTTCTGTCTGGGCAACATGAGAGTTGTGTATTGGAGCATTGTCTTGCAGGAGACGGACACCCTTGGTCAGCATGCCGCGCCTCTTAAGCTTGATAGCTTCCCGCAATTTCCGCAGCAGTGAAGACTAATAAGCTCCTGTAATTGTGGTACCCTTTGCCAAGAAATCCATCATCACTACTCCGTGCTGGTCCCAAAACACCGTGAGCATGACCTTGCCTGCAGAGGGTTGGACACGTGCCTTCTTTGGGGGTGGTGACTCCACATGCTTCCATTGCATCGTCTGAACTTTAGTCTCAGGATCATAGTGATGGACCCATGTTTCATCCTGTGTGATAAATCTGTCAAAAAAGTTTGCCTGTTTTTTTTGGCACATGTCCAAAAGATCCTTTGAGCAATTGACTCGTTCCTGCTTTTGGAAAGGTGTGAGCAACCTGGGAATCCATCGTGCAGACACCTTATGCATGTTCAAATTGTCATGGATGATTTTTTCCACAGACCCTACACTGACATCTTGTGCTAACTGGCGAACAGTTATACGTCGGTCTGCCAAAATGGTGGTCTCCACTTGATGGATAGTGTCCTCATCAATGGCTGAATGGGGGCGACCAGTAATGGCAGCTGTTTCCACAGATGTCTGACCACACTTGAACTGGCGATGCCAGTGTTTAACAACGTCATGTGATGGGGCATCTTCCCCATAAGTTGCTTTCATTTCATCGAAAGTTTCTTTTGGTGTGCGACCTTTCAAATATAAAAACCTAATCACTGCTCGGTATTCTACTGGCTCAATTGTCACACCCTACTCGATCATAACACCTGTAAAAGTGGTAAGATTAATAGTTCGGTGTTGCAAATTCAGACATAACCTATAGATACATGTATCATTACACATGCGAAAATTTCAACCAAATATGATAACCCTAAGTGGTTTAGGGGAAATCTTTAATGAACACCCCTCGTATGTATAATATATATAAGTACTATGTTTGTTATGTTATGTGGAAATGGGTTTCTCCGCACGACCGGGAGCAGTTCAGATTTGAGTGGTTTACTGTCCACCTTGGCACAATGGCTGTCAAATATCATAAGCGTTCATACCTCATCTAGATTTCAACAAAGCCTAATCATTGCAAGGTCTTTCAAAATAATGTCATGGTGCAAATTATGTGAAAGAAGGGTAGATAGGTAGGGCTTGGCTGTAACTGTGTGGGAGAACTTATACACTTCGGCTGTGTTTGGCATATATATTCATGCATGCCTTGGATTTTGCACCAAATGGAGTACCACTAAAAACATCTTTAGGTTCAGCAACTAAAAGGTACTGGGTAATTACAATAATTATAGCCACTAGCAGTGAACAGGGACTATTTGCTGGACAATACCTGCCTGAATATTTATGGCCTTGATTTAAGTCAATATTATTAACCAAAGTCAAGGTGGTCTGTTAAATGACGATGGCTTAACCGGCTTTATCATGTTCAATCACTTGAGCGACAACCTGAAAGAATTGTGTTTTTTTATTGACCCTACATACTTGCTGATATGCTAATATGAATCCTTTCTTTTTAGATTTTGTTACAGATTCATTATTGGAGAAAGTTTCAAGAAATAAAATCCTATCTAAGCACCTTGCTGATCCCATGTTCTCCCAAGCTATCACAGAATTTCAGACAAATCCCCAGGCAGCTCTCATCAAATACCAACATAACAAGGAAATCCAGCTTGTCTTCAAAGAATTCTGTGAATTGATGGGTGAGTTGCTATGAACCTAGGCATATGTCAGGGCAGAACACATGCTGCATGGAACTCAGATCTGATGAGGTAACAGCTGCTTACACTTGTGACTGAGACATGTTATTCGGTATCTTTCAAAATTTCTTGATTCTGATTGGTCAATCAGGTAATGTTCATCCCTAGAGATATTTGTTTCACATTGATTTGTGTTACTTTGATGTAGCATGTGGTTGCCGTGCTTACCTCCCTCTAACATCACACAGCAGTATAACAGATGGATTTCAAAGTTGCAACTGGTGTGTGGAGCAGGTGAGCTACAGTGGTGTGGTATTTGTCAGCTCAGGTGGCCTGACCAGTGGATTCACATAGCAATATAGCATGTCACAAGCTAATTTGACCAGAAATGCCTCTTGTTTGTAAATAAGCATATTTTTTAACTTATCCTGCCTTACTCCTTAATGCATCTACTGCTTGTTCTTGAAAGGGAAAGGGCTGTGTGAGGTCTTGCTGAAGAAGAAGTTGTTTCAACTAGCTAAGAGGCCAACCCTATCACACAGCTCCAACGTGACCACGGAAGTGATGATGTCATGGATCAGCTCATTGCTGCTGTCAACCCACAGAAGGAAGACCCAAGTGTTGAACTCTCACATATGATTTACGCCATAGCGTAATGATTTTACACCTGGTGGTGGTGTTCACCACGGTAATCTCAGGTGTTGTGTTGTTTAAAGTAGCCATCTTGAACATTGTTCATTGTCACACTTTTTCGTGGCATGCATTCTCTATTCTTTGTATTGCCTGGTTCTTAATTCACTGACGTATTCTTGCAATGATATCGTTTATTAAAGCGATGGTGTTTTGCATTGTTTGCGTAAACTTGTTCTTCATAAACGCACATGGCTTGGAAAATGATTATGGCATACATAATCGGGCGGGATGCATTGTGATTACACTCTGCTTCATTGCAGATAACATGCCATCTTGTACAAGGTGTCGCCATAATTAGTCTGGGTGGTATCCCCATCCCTTGTACCTAAATTGCATGTCCCTTTGCTCCCAGACTTCTAAATGTAAGGGACCTACATGCTTCTAGGAAACGAAATTCCCAGCAGGCCAGTAAATTATGTACAAAAATGTCTGCTGTTTCTGAGCCTGCCTCACCACGCTTGGGTTTCAGCCTAGGCTCTGGTTCACGTCTCACTCTCAACCTCTTTCAAGCCATTGAGTTCGGGCAATTATCAGCCCAGGCGGAACTCACTTCAGTCACATGTCTGGGACTCCTCCTCCTTTTGTGACAAGAACCGAGGAAAAGGGAAGACCTCCGGATCCTACCAGCCCTGCCGAGACCGAATGAGCCACAATCCGGCCACCTGCAACAAGCGCTACCTGGCTCGTCCACCGTCCTTCCTGATGACCACACACAGGCTCCTCCTGTCCAGGATACAGGCTCACGACTCTCTTATCAGCCTGGACATCCAGGATGCATACCTACATGAACCCATCCATCCCCACGACAGGAATTTCCTCCGTTTCATCTTCATGGGAATCTACATATGGGTGGTGCTCCCATTTGGAATTGCCTCGGCCTCGTGGCTATTTACACACATCACCAAGCCATTTCAATGAGGAATGTCCAGTTTGAGGCATACATAGACGACTCCTCCTGAACCACCAGGACACAGCCACAGACTTCATGCGTCTCCTCCTCCAACTGGGATGGATGATCAATCTGCGGAAATCAGAGCTCACGCCTTCGTTCCGTCTCCAATTCATCGGAAGCCTAAATACACAAATGATTTGTCATTTCCCAATGAAATGAACCATTTCTTGACATATTTATATGAATCTGTAGGCATTTCAGAAAGGAAATGGATGAGAAATGTGTCATGATATGTAAGTTGTTGAACGGACTCTGTGAGGTGTGACAAGTTGTCTGGTCTGCAGTAGAGGTATAAAGTTGACTGCAAATAACAGTTTTTTGGCGAGAGAATTTTCTGACCCATTTCCACATACATATAGTGATGTAATTTATGAGTATATTAATTGTCATCTGCAGGTAATCATTTCTCAGAGTTTGGTGGAGATGGATCGCAACATGATGCACCATCTCAGTCTCCCCAGCCCCAGCCCCAGCCCCAGCCTCAGCCCTGTGATGAGGACATGCAGCAAATGCAGCAGATCCTGGCGGATGCCGAAGTACGGGAGATCCTCATGGACACCGACATTCAAACACTTCTCACATGTCTGAAAACTGATCCACAACAAGCACAAAGGTGAGCAAAGATTATAGTGTACTAATTGTTTCACTGAAATACAGAAACATGCTCTCTCTGCTATGTTTTTACACACGAGACACCACACTTAAGTTTAATATGTGAACACTCTTTGTTAAACCTGTGTAAAAGCCATTGTGCACACTTTGCAGGAAGCTGCATCTATACACTTTGCATCCATACACCTATAAACACAAAATTGGCATCAATTCTTAATTGTACAAATTATGACTTGTGCTATTCAAAACTTCCAGGTCAATTTATCAGGGATCGGTGGGGTAGCCTAGTGGTTAAAGCATTTGCTCATCATGCCAAAGCCCAAGGTTCAATTCCCCAAAAGTGTAGAATGTGTGAAGTCATATTCTGGTATTCCCTGCAGTGATATTGCTGGAATGTTGCAAAAAGCAGTCTAAAACCATACTCAATAATTCATTCAATTTATCAGGGTAATTTTATCTTTTGTTCAACTCTTGGGACTCTAAACTGAGTTGGAGACAATTGGGAATACGAATCATCCAGTTTGACATTTTAATGTTAAAATAGTGGTAAATATAGTAAGAGTTTGACGGGACTGCTTTGAGTCCAACACAACCAGCATTTCAACACTTCCAAGTTTGATACAACAGGGTTCAACTTAGGTTCAACAGTCTAATCTCTCAAAAACAATCTAACTATTCAGTTTAGAGTTTAGTGAGCTTCAGTGCCCCTGTCTTTTCTGCCATGCCAAGACTGAAATACCTGAATCTTTCTAAGAAACTCTATTTTCTTTCAGATTTGTTCACCACGGCGGTTCAGACATGAAAGCCAAGATCAACAAATTGATCAAAGCAGGACTTCTTCAAATGGAGCCTGTTTGATATTAAATTATTGTTTGAAATAAATTGAAAGTGTTTTCCTTTTCAAATATAAAACAATCACACTTACAACAGATATGCTTTTAGTTGGTGCAGAACAACTGAAGCAACCTTTTGTTTCTTTAGGGTAAATTGTTATTAATCACTTGGTTTTTCAAACATTGAATACCTCCAAGTAGAATCTTATAATTTAATTGAAGGGGCAACATTATTCCAGTTTCCAACAGTGCATTAGTGCAATATACCTGCTGAAGTAATGAGACATATTCATGTGATCATCACATATACTGCAACAATCACACAGGGCTGATCCGCAAACTGACAAGATCATAACATAAAGCATCAATCACACAAGGCTGATCTGCGACCTGACGTGATCATCACATACAGCATCAATCACACAAGGCTGATCTGTGAACTGGCATGATCATCACATAGAATGCATCAATCACACAAGGCTGATCTGTGAACTGACGTGATCATCACATATACAGCATCAATCATACAATGCTGATCTGTGAACTGGCATGATCATCACATACAGCATCAATCACACAAGGCTGATCTATGAACTGACGTGATCATCACATATACAGCATCAATCACACAAGGCTGATCTGTGAACTGGCGTGATTATCACATATACAGCATCAATCACACAAGGCTGATCTGTGAACTGGTATGATCATCACATAGAATGCATCAAACACACAGGGCTGATCTGTGAACTAGCGTGATCATCACATATACAGCATCAATCACACAAGACTGATCTGTGAATTGACGTGATCATCACATACAGCATCAATCACACAAGGCTGATCTGTGAACTGACGTGATCATCACATACAGCATCAATCACACAAGGCTGATCTGTGAACTGGTGTGATCATCACATAGAATGCATCAAACACACAAGGCTGATCTGTGAACTGTCGTGATCATCACATAGAATGCATTAAACACACAAGGCTGATCTGTGAACTGGCGTGATCATCACATATACAGCATCAATCACACAAGGCTGATCTGTGAACTGACGTGATCATCACATAGACTGCATAAAACACACAATGCTAATCTGCGAACTCACGTGATCATCACATACAGCATCAATCACACAAGGCTGATCTGTGGACTGACGTGATCATCACATATACAGCATCAATCACACAAGGCTGATCTGTGAACTGGCGTGATCATCACATATACAGCATCAATCACACAAGGCTGATCTGTGAACTGGTGTGATCATCACATACAGCATCAATCACACAAGGCTGATCTGTGAACTGGTGTGATCATCACATAGAATGCATCAAACACACAAGGCTGATCTGTGAACTGGCGTGATCATCACATATACAGCATCAATCACACAAGGCTGATCTGTGAACTGACGTGATCATCACATACAGCATCAATCACACAAGGCTGATCTGTGAACTGACGTGATCATCACATATACAGCATCAATCACACAATACTGATCGGTGAACTGGCGTGATCTTCACATACAGCATCAATCACACAAGGCTGATCTGTGAACTGACGTGATCATCACATACAGCATCAATCACACAAGGCTGATCTGTGAATTGACGTGATCATCACATAGACGGCATGAAACACACAATGCTTATCTGCGAACTGACGTGATCATCACATAGACGGCATGAAACACACAATGCTGATCTGCGAACTGACGTGATCATCACATACAGCATCAATCACACAAGGCTGATCTGTGAACTGACTTGATCATCACATAGAATGCATCAAACACACAGGGCTGATCTGTGAACTGGCGTGATCATCACATATACAGCATCAATCACACAAGGCTGATCTGTGAATTGACGTGATCATCACATACAGCATCAATCACACAAGGCTGATCTGTGAACTGACGTGATCATCACATATACAGCATCAATCACACAAGGCTGATCTGTGAACTGACGTGATCATCACATACAGCATCAATCACACAAGGCTGATCTGTGAACTGACGTGATCATCACACAGACTGCATGAAACACACAAGGCTGATCTGCCAACTGACGTGATCATCACATACAGCTTCAATCACACAAGGCTGATCTGTGAACTGACGTGATCATCACAAAAACAGCATCAATCACACAATGCTGATCTGTGAACTGGCATGTTCATCACATACAGCATCAAACACACAAGGCTGATCTGTGAACTGACGTGATCATCACATATACAGCATCAATCACACAAGGCTGATCTGTGAACTGGCGTGATTATCACATATACAGCATCAATCACACAAGGCTGATCTGTGAACTGGTATGATCATCACATAGAATGCATCAAACACACAGGGCTGATCTGTGAACTAGCGTGATCATCACATATACAGCATCAATCACACAAGACTGATCTGTGAATTGACGTGATCATCACATGCAGCATCAATCACACAAGGCTGATCTGTGAACTGACGTGATCATCACATACAGCATCAATCACACAAGGCTGATCTGTGAACTGGTGTGATCATCACATAGAATGCATCAAACACACAAGGCTGATCTGTGAACTGTCGTGATCATCACATAGAATGCATTAAACACACAAGGCTGATCTGTGAACTGGCGTGATCATCACATATACAGCATCAATCACACAAGGCTGATCTGTGAACTGACGTGATCATCACATACAGCATCAATCACACAAGGCTGATCTGTGAACTGGCGTGATCATCACATATACAGCATCAATCACACAAGGCTGATCTGTGAACTGACGTGATCATCACATAGACTGCATAAAACACACAATGCTAATCTGCGAACTCACGTGATCATCACATACAGCATCAATCACACAAGGCTGATCTGTGGACTGACGTGATCATCACATATACAGCATCAATCACACAAGGCTGATCTGTGAACTGACTTGATCATCACATAGAATGCATCAAACACACAGGGCTGATCTGTGAACTGGCGTGATCATCACATATACAGCATCAATCACACAAGGCTGATCTGTGAATTGACGTGATCATCACATACAGCATCAATCACACAAGGCTGATCTGTGAACTGACGTGATCATCACATATACAGCATCAATCACACAAGGCTGATCTGTGAACTGACGTGATCATCACATACAGCATCAATCACACAAGGCTGATCTGTGAACTGACGTGATCATCACACAGACTGCATGAAACACACAAGGCTGATCTGCCAACTGACGTGATCATCACATACAGCTTCAATCACACAAGGCTGATCTGTGAACTGACGTGATCATCACAAAAACAGCATCAATCACACAATGCTGATCTGTGAACTGGCATGATCATCACATACAGCATCAAACACACAAGGCTGATCTGTGAACTGACGTGATCATCACATATACAGCATCAATCACACAAGGCTGATCTGTGAACTGGCGTGATTATCACATATACAGCATCAATCACACAAGGCTGATCTGTGAACTGGTATGATCATCACATAGAATGCATCAAACACACAGGGCTGATCTGTGAACTAGCGTGATCATCACATATACAGCATCAATCACACAAGACTGATCTGTGAATTGACGTGATCATCACATGCAGCATCAATCACACAAGGCTGATCTGTGAACTGACGTGATCATCACATACAGCATCAATCACACAAGGCTGATCTGTGAACTGGTGTGATCATCACATAGAATGCATCAAACACACAAGGCTGATCTGTGAACTGTCGTGATCATCACATAGAATGCATTAAACACACAAGGCTGATCTGTGAACTGGCGTGATCATCACATATACAGCATCAATCACACAAGGCTGATCTGTGAACTGACGTGATCATCACATACAGCATCAATCACACAAGGCTGATCTGTGAACTGGCGTGATCATCACATATACAGCATCAATCACACAAGGCTGATCTGTGAACTGACGTGATCATCACATAGACTGCATCAAACACACAATGCTAATCTGCGAACTCACGTGATCATCACATACAGCATCAATCACACAAGGCTGATCTGTGGACTGACGTGATCATCACATATACAGCATCAATCACACAAGGCTGATCTGTGAACTGGTGTGATCATCACATAGAATGCATCAAACACACAAGGCTGATCTGTGAACTGGCGTGATCATCACATATACAGCATCAATCACACAAGGCTGATCTGTGAACTGACGTGATCATCACATACAGCATCAATCACACAAGGCTGATCTGTGAACTGACGTGATCATCACATATACAGCATCAATCACACAATACTGATCGGTGAACTGGCGTGATCTTCACATACAGCATCAATCACACAAGGCTGATCTGTGAACTGACGTGATCATCACATACAGCATCAATCACACAAGGCTGATCTGTGAACTGACGTGATCATCACATAGACGGCATGAAACACACAATGCTTATCTGCGAACTGACGTGATCATCACATAGACGGCATGAAACACACAATGCTGATCTGCGAACTGACGTGATCATCACATACAGCATCAATCACACAAGACTGATCTGTGAACTGACTTGATCATCACATAGAATGCATCAAACACACAGGGCTGATCTGTGAACTGGCGTGATCATCACATATACAGCATCAATCACACAAGGCTGATCTGTGAATTGACGTGATCATCACATACAGCATCAATCACACAAGGCTGATCTGTGAACTGACGTGATCATCACACAGACTGCATGAAACACACAAGGCTGATCTGCCAACTGACGTCATCATCACATACAGCTTCAATCACACAAGGCTGATCTGTGAACTGACGTGATCATCACAAAAACAGCATCAATCACACAATGCTGATCTGTGAACTGGCATGATCATCACATACAGCATCAAACACACAAGGCTGATCTGTGAACTGACGTGATCATCACATATACAGCATCAATCACACAAGGCTGATCTGTGAACTGGCGTGATTATCACATATACAGCATCAATCACACAAGGCTGAT